CTTCATAATTAACTTTCTTTGATTGAAAATATATTGTTGCATACTTAAAATAAAGAAAGAAAACCTAGGTCCAGCAAGGTAGCTAAGTGAATAAAGGTACTTGCTGCCAAGCCTGACAATTTAAGTGAACCCCAGAGTAGAAGGAGAGAACTGACTCCTAGAGGTTGTCCTCTGTCCTCCATCTATGCTCTGTGGCATGCATCCCCCCCACAAGTAAATGTAAATTATAAATACAGATATGTCTTCATAGATATGCAGGTGCTTAATTTTTATTTACTTACATATATTTAGATTTGCTGTAGTTTTTAGTTGTTTTTGTTTGTTAAAAAGGTAAGAATGAGGACCTATGCAGAGGATAACTCTGGACAGTGTTTGACCCTCAAGCTTGAGTTAAGATCCAGCACCTGTGTAAGCAGCAGTACCCAGTGGTGTGTGTTTATCATCTCAGTACTGGGGAAATGAAGATGGGTGGATCCCTAGGGCTTGATGGTCCTTCCAGTCTAGCGTAATCGGTGAGCCCTAGGTCCCAAATGAGAGACTATCTCAACAAAACCAAAGTGGGCAGCTCCCGAGGAACACCTAAGGCTGACCTCTTGCTTCCACATGCACATATAAAATCTTGCCCCAAGGTGCCCTCTTTCTATAACTCTAATGCAAGTGAGATGAGCTAAATGTGGTAGCTCACACCTCTACTTTTTGCACTTGGGAGACTGAGGCAAGAAGATTACTTTGAATCTAACCCAGCATATGGAGTATGACCCTATCTTAAAAAGAAAAAGAAAAATAAAAGTGAAAATGAGGAACAGCCAGTGGGCAAAGGTTAAGGAGCAGGGGTGGGGCATTTTATAGCTATCCAGAGATCTCTGGTGTCAGGAGCCTGTCCTTTCTCCTCACTGGAATAGTCAGATATCTGTGCCTTCCTTCAGTCTCTTCTTTCCCCTTCCTATGAGCGCTGTGCGAGGCTCATACACACTCGTGTTTTATGAGAGACACAAGTGTTCAGTGTCTGTGATTAAGAAAAGACACTGAGCCAGGTCAGCATCAACAGTGTTGCTTTTAAAAGATGAACAGTGTATACTGTGAAGGATTGGGATTAATTTTCATCTTTTTCCAGGTTCTTAAAATGCCCTGGACTTAATTTTTGATGTCTGTGGTATTTTAGGCTTATACCAGCCAGTTTGTGTCCCTTGTGATGTTTGCCCTCATGCTGTGTGATGACAGAATCTCCATGCAAGAGAGGCGTAAAGAGATCCTGCTTGGATTGAAGCAGCTGCCAGGTATAAATTATGATACTCATTTTATCAGTGTTTTAAAATATAACTTTTCTAGCATGGACAATAATAGCTTTCTTTTCTTTTTCTTTCTTTTTTGGTTTTTGTTTGTTTTGAGACAGTGTCTCACATATCTGAGATTGGCCTCAAACTTGAACTTTTTTCTCCTTTGTTGTTGTTGTTGTTGTTTGAAACAGAGTTTTACTGTGTACCTCTGGCTGTCCTGGAACTCACACAGGTCCGCATTCCTCGGAATCCTGAGTGCTGGCATTAAAGGAGTGTGCCACCATGCCCGGTGGGACCTTGAACCTCTAATTCTCCTACTTCTACCTCCTGGATGCTGATATTACAGGCGTGTCTTCATGCCTGGTTTATGCAGTGCTAGGGATTGCGCCTAAGGCTTTGTGTGTGTTAGACAAACATTCTAACACCAGAGCCACATCCCCAGCCCTGGAGTGCTTTATAGACTATAAATATTAATCTATTGGATCACAGTTGGCAAAGATTCCATTTCATAGACTGTTTCTTCACCCTGTTAATTTTTTTTTTTTTTGCTGTGCAGAAGTTTCTTAATTAGCAATAGTCACACTCTGCATTAACCTCATCAGCTGCCATACTGCACTGTGCAAAGCTGAGGAAATTTAAATTTCATGCAGTCCTATTTGTCAGTTTTGTGATCATTTCCTCTATTAGTGGGAGTCCTTTTGAGGGAGTCTTTGTCTTTGCCCTTGCCAGTATCTTGAGATATTC